GGAGGCGCGCCACAGGAGACGAAGTCCCTCCTTTTCTGGGTGATGACGTTCGGTGGGTCATCATCTCTGTAGTCGCCTTTCCTCGGTCGTCCTCGGGCCCCGTACTGCCTGGCTGGAATCATTCACCAGTCACCAGTGGCCGTCACACCCGGGCGGCGGGGTGCAGACACAACAGGGTATGTCGGACCATCGGGTCACCGTTTCGGCTGCACCGCGCAGTTGCGATTCCCCGCCAGATTCCACCAACATGCTGGTTCTTAATCTCCCACACTCCCGGTATACGCAATCGATAATCATCACCACAATCATCATCACCAACACCATCATGATCATCATAACCGCCACCGTGGACACTGTGCACCTGTCGCAAGAGCTAGCTGATGCAAACTGTCCCCGAGCGGCGAATCTCTGCGGATCGGCCCTCCCGTCAGGGAACCCGCTACCACCCGCGTGTCATTCAAGGCCTCACTTTGTCTTGCCACGCCCAAGTGCAAGGCGAGGCCACTGAGGTCTCTCTCATCTTCCAAGCATCGTGCGCTTAGCATGCTATTAACTTTTTTCAGATAGCGAGGTTCGCCTGAGACAAGGTCTACTTTGACAGCTTACCAATGTCAGAGAGAGCGTGATCCACCGCTGCTTTACTGTGGAAAATTGCCAACCTTTTCCTCCGGAACCCGGGGGTCGCCCGGGCCCCCCCCCTCCGAAAACCCCCCCCCCCCTGCTGGAACCCCCCCCCCCCTCCCCCCCCCCCCTAAAACCCCCCCTCCCCTGACCCCTCCCCCCCCCCCTCCTCGAAAACCGGGGGGGTCACTACCGGTTCGACCCCATCCCCCCCCCCCCTCCGGATCCGGAGAACCGGGGGGGGTAACTACCGGTTCGACCCCCCCCCCCTCGAAAACCGGAGGGGGATCACTACCGGTTCGAACCCCTCCCCACCACTCACCGCCAGCAAACGACTCCCAGTCCCTACCACCGTCCGCATCACATCCTCCACTGTTGTTCCCAGCACCACTGTCCTCACCACCACTGTCCCCACTGTGTCCCCACCAGTGCCCCCACCACTGTCGCACTGTCCCCACTGTCCCCACCACTGTTCCCACCACGGTTCCACTCTCCCCACTGTCTCCACGGCCCCAACCACTGCCCGACTATCCCCACTGTCCCCACTGTCCCACTGACTCCGCCGCTGTCCCACTGAGCTGTCCCACTGTTCCCACCACTGTCCCCACTGTCCCCACCACTGTCCCCACTGTACCTCTGTCCCATTGTCCCACCGCCGTCCTCGCCACCGCCTTCACCACTGTCCCCACCACCATTGTACCCTCCACTGTCCCACTGTTTCCACCTCATTCCCACTGTGCCCACACCACTGTCCCCACCACCACCGTCCCCACCACTGTCCACTGTCCCCCCTGTTCCCACCATTGTCCCCACCACTGTCCCCACCACTACCGGCCCTCTACTGTCCCACTGTCCCACTGTCCCCACCACTGTCCCGCTGTCCCCTCACCACTGTCCCACCAACACCGTCCCCACCTCTGTCCGCACCCCCACTCGGTTTTCGAGGGGGGGGGGGGGGAGGGGTTCAAACCGGTAGTGACCCCCCCCCCTTTTCATGATGAGCTGGGGGGGGGGGCGAGGGGTTCGAACCGGTAGTGACCCCCCCCGGTTTTCCGGAGGGGGGGGGGGGGGGTTCGAACCGGTAGTGACCCCCCCCGGTTTTCCGCCAGCAGCGGTAGAACACGCTCTTTCCAATGTCATGGACGAGCGAGCGCCTTCTCAGCTCAGCTTAGGTGCCCAGGACTGCTTGGCCTGCACCTCGGTTGCGCTGAACCTCCCCTTCCTCCTCGATTCTGGAATAATCGGATGGCGCTTCTCCTCTTCTCACGAACTCCACCACTCCACCCGACAGACTTGCTGCACCATTCGCTTGGTTCTTTTCGAATGAGCCCAGAGCGTTGTGTTCTATGTACCGTGTCTAGTTCGGCGTGTTGTGGATAAGCAATTTAGCGCTTGTAGGTCCCAAAAAGAAACGCAATGCGCAAACATGTGATCATTGTGCTTGCGTGTTTAGCCACGATTTCTGAAGGCTTTCCACACCAGTTGGCGCATTGCTGAACATTGCCGTCTACAACGTCCTCAGTTCCTCCTCCTGGCGTGCAGTCTTCCCTACCTTTCTGTGATCACTCTTATTATTCCTGTTGCTCTTCTGTTGCCCTCGCTGCTGGCTGGGGCGTCGGGCCTTGGGGCCCGATGGCTGATTGCGCCTCCTGGGGCCATTGGGCCTCCGGGCCTGTTCCGGGCCGGTGTTAGAATGTGCTTTTGTTGCGCGCTGGTTAGCTCTGAGAAGGAGAACGGCAGCAGAAACGAAACAGCGGGAACGAAGACAGCTGGGAAGGCAAACAACAGCCTTCGACGAGAAAACAACAGAACGTTAACATATATGATGATCCACAGCGACGGGCCTCAAAACGCTAGGAAGAACAAACGGAGCTAATCACTCAAAAAACCGTCGCGTGATTGCTTTAGCGGCTTTAGCTTTCAAGAGCCCAAAGTGCAACATTGTATCTTGTTTCAAGGGTCGGCTACTTGGCCGATTCTTTTCTTTGCTTTTCAGCCCGCCCATTCCCTGCTCTTCGGGCCCAGCACCACTCCCTCGGCCAATCCTGGAGTGCCAAGTGGGGCGAGGCCCGCGTCGTGCCCTGGCGCAAGGTTGTCCTTGTCCTCAACTTGGCACATCGCGCCATCCAGCTAGCACCCAGTGCGAGCTTCGGCGGCACGCAGCTGCAGTGCCCATCTCTAGTCAAAGCCCGCCGCCCTCACCCCATCGCGCGCGCTCGGGGGCGAGCGCGAAAGCGCGCGCGAAGGGGTGGGGTGCTTGGGAGGGGAGGCGGGGAGAGAGGAAGGGCAAGAGGAGGAGAATGAAGACGGTGAAGAGGGAGGACAGGAGAGGAATGGGAGGGAGAGGAGGGCGAGGAGGACGATGACGACAAGGAGAACGAGGCACTAGAGAGGAGGAGAGGGGGAAGGAAGAGGAGGATGAGGAGGAATGTTCGGGAATGTTCCCTTAGAAGACGACGAACGTCCCTGCTCATTTGGTAATTCTGCAACCGTCTGCCTCACAGACCGCCTTCGGAGGCCCCGAGGGGTCGGGATACTTACCCGCGAGCTAAAGTCTGCCTCCCTTTGGGCGTGGGGGGTACATTCCTTAACCAACTGACGAGGGTCGGCGGCGCAACTAAATCCGCATTTGCGACAGAAAGTAAGGCAGGATTTGCGCAAATACTGCAACGTGTGCGACGGATGGAGGTCCTTACCGCCCACTCTCTGCGGTCCACGCAGAGCTCTAACTCCCGATACTGCTTGTTCGAGCACTGGGTCGCACACGCTTGGGAAATCGAATCGTGATTCGAGAACTGCGAACACTGCGCGCAGTAAAACTTCGCACCCAGTCGGCACCATCGATGGTCGGAGTCCCTTAAAACACGCGCCAATTTCGGAAGCGGTGCAAGGTCCCTGATTTTCGGGCGGCCCACGGACCACGGATCCGACAAATTCGCGCATCCCAGGGCCCGTCTCGCACGCCGACGGATCAAGGCGGCCTCCGAATCCCTCCTGTCGGTAGGAGGGTCTAAAACAACAAAATTGGTCCACGAAGTATCAGCCATCGCCGCCGCCAGCGCATCCGCACATTCATTACTAAACGCACGGAACCTGTCGGCGTCGGTTCGGAGTGTCGCCTCCTCTTGGTGGGAGGCAACCCACTCGAGCAGCGCAGCTTCAGGCTCTCTGGCTTGAAGTGCTGAGGCTACCCTGGACCAGAGATCGGCGTTGGCCCCCCCGCGTTCTCAAACCCGAAATGCCTTCCTCTAGTCCAGGTCGAAAAGATTGGCAGGTGATCGGTGATAAAACGCAGCCGGCCTGGGAGAAGCTCCAAAGCAGAAGCGAAGGCGGTAATCTCCGCGCGAGTCACCGTCTGCCTCCTCCCTTGGCCGACTTCCAAAAGAGTCCCTCTGGCGCAAGCGCCACTACGCCAGCGCCAACCCTGCGACGCCGAGGGTCATCCGAAAAGCCCCCGCCCGATCCGTCCCCGAAAACGGTCGCGTAACCTTCGGCGTCGCGAGGGATCGAATTGATGTCCCCGAAGTTCCTGGTCTCTGAGGGTCCGTCGTTAAAACTGGGAATCGTTTCCTCTCTCCCTGGTACCCCTCGGAGCCAAAAACTCGGGGAGCTCTCATGGTTAACTCGGGCCTGGTCGAATAAAATGTCTGATTTCGTGAAATCGTCATGGCCCTCATTGGCCTCGCAAGCCCAAATACTGTGAAACAGCGTCTCTGGTGCCCTCTGGCACCGTGGACACAAGAGACTCGGGACTTCATAGCCTGCCTCACTCAAACGCTCACGCGTCCGCTGGCCTCCCGTGACGACCACCACGTTCAAGGTCCACTCGTCGCCCTGGTCGCTGGTACCGAGCCTCGCCGTCTCTCTGCACACGTGGTACATGTCCGCATCGCTGCCAAGATCCGTGCTATCCTGGTGGTTCGCAACTGACCTCCACAACTGGGCGTCTATGGTCGTCTCCACATCGTCCAGGATATCCGTAAAATCGCCGTGAAACTGGCTGAACTCGTCGTCCACCTCCGACGGAATCGACCAACAACACTGACCAGATTGCCAAGTCATAGGAGAACTCGGGTGCCAGCCAATGTCATATAATGTCGCAGTCGTAGCGCCAGGAGGAGGGGGAGGAGGAGAAGGATGAGGAAGCGGAGGAGGAGGAGGAGGAGGAGGAGGAGGAGGAAGAGGGGGAGGGGGAGGAGGAGGAGGAGGAGGAGGAGGAGGAGGAGGAGCAGGAGGAGGAGGAGGAGGCGGAGGAGGGAGTAAAAGCAGGCGGGAGGAGGGAGAGGAGAGGGAGGGGGAGAGGAGCAGGAGGAACACGACGAGCAGGAGGCGGAAGGAGCAGGAGGACGGCGAGAGGCACAGGTGCGCAGGTGGGCTCTCTTTCAAGGGGCACCCACCAGGACACGTGGGCTGGCTGCGGGCCGCTGAGGAGCAGCTGCACATTGGCTGCACTGCCACGTCCAACGGAGGCTGGCACCCCGATTCCCTTGAAAACGGGCCGTCTCGGTCTCGAGAGGCGTCTCAAGCGTGGGCGGCGCCGCGCGGGCGCCCAGTCCGCTGGGCGACCTCAGTGCTGCAGCGGCAATGCCGGAAGGTCTGGGCCCTCGCGAGAGGAACGCTAACCGCGCTCTGGCACTAGGCCCAGACCGGGCCGCCCCTCGAGGCCACCCGACGTCGCACCCCGCGGGGCGCGAGGGCGCTGCCATCTTCGCGCTCAGGCGCCGCCCCCTGGGAAGGAGGAGCAGCTCCCCAGCTCAGACGGCGAAGAGCGAGGCTCGGCTCCTCTTCCTGCCCCCACGGGTTGGCCCACGGGTCCAGGGGCCCAGGGTCTTTGCGGGGCGGGCCCCTGCCGTGGCGGCGCGGGCCTCGATGCCTTGCCGCCCCGTCGCGCGGAACTTTTTCGGGCACGGGGCCAACTTCGCTGTCGAGGGTCCCCCCGGGCTGCGGGGCTCTTCAGCCTCGACCGCTCGCGCCGGCGCTGCCGCCGCGCCGAGTCGGCATGGACCTGCCGCTTCGCCACGCCCCCACAATTGCCTCCTAGAGGCCTCCGAGAGGCCTTTCCAAGAGCCCCAAGGAGCCGCTAAGAGACCCCTCGCCTGCGGCCCAGGCGCGGAGGCAGGATGAGCCGAAGGCCACTGGCTGTACGCCCTCCTGGCCCCGCCTGGAGGCGTGCACGCCAGTCCTGGGCCTAGAATTGGCCTGGAAAGAATCGGCGCCTGGCGTGCAGTTGGCGTCCCCCAGCCTCGGACTTGGCGGAGTCGTCCTCGCTGCCGCGCTCCTGCGCCGTGGGGGGAGCCGATGCACAAACATGAACTGTCGGAGGTCCGCGCGGATCTCTTGGATCGGAGCCGCCAGGGATTCCAGCGCCGATCCAAGAAATCCGCGTGGACCTCCGACAATTCATCTCGATTCAAACTGAGACTCTTCGAGTACATAGTGGTTGGCTATTTCGCCCGATGTAAAAAAATGTCGCGATAAAGATAAACCTGAGCTCTCGACGCCACTTTCTGCGAGACCCCTTGGAGCTTGGCAACACTGTGAAAGGGGACAAGGACGGAAAGCCCGTTGATTTCTGTTGCACGACGCCCCAGTGCACAAGGATCCCCGACTGCAGGAAACACAGAAGAGTGCACAAACATGACTTTCGGACGCTTGCGGACGGCACTGGCGCTGGACACCATCCCCTTAACCCTCCGCAACGCCCCACCCGACGGCGCCGCTTAGGGGTGCAAGGAGAGGTGCCAACGCTGGCGGAAATGTGCCGTACGCGGGCGTCCGACATTTGTGCGTACGCTTTTTTTCTGACCTCCGAGACTCCTCGCCCTCGGGCCAGATCATGGTCATTATCTCGTCGTCGGTCAGCTCCAGGGGATTATCGTCGAAGACGTGGCTGTCTAGCAACACAGCGAACCTCTCCTGGTCCACCGGCTCGCCAATCTGGAGCAGGAAGAGGAGAATGGGAGGGGAGGAGGGTGCGGGGAGGAGGGAGGATAATGAGGGAAAAACAGCACCAGCAGGTAGCGGAGACGCAGCGACCGCAGCAGAGGTGGCAGCGGCAGGAGGGAGCAGCAGAAGCAGCGGGAGCGGGAGCAGCAGCAGCGGGAAGTGGAGGGGGAGCGGGGAGGAGCACGGGAGCGGGAGCAGAGGCCGAGGCGAAAGCAGCAGAAGCCGCACGCCCACGTGCTGTGCTGCATGCTCCTCCCGAGCAGTGGCCCTTTCTCTCCTCTGGCGAGGCCGGTGCCGACCTGGCCACTCGACGACGCGGCAGCATGATCACACTGCGTTGCGACAAGCTCGCGGCTGGAGCTTCCGACCCCATCTTTGCGCGCGATTTCTTGGGCCATACCGGCCCCGTCGGCGCCCTGGAGCAGCTGAACCTACTTGTGGGTACCTGCGTAACGCTGTGACGGAGGTTTCGGCCTCAGCTTCAGACAAGAAAGATTGGAAATACTCAAGGGTGGCGCCGCCAATGGGGGCGTATCGGGAGCGATGCAGCATCTCTGCCAGAGGAGAAGGGACAGAGGAGGGAATCAAGCTGGGTGCGCGGCATCTATCACATCCTACTCCATCACACCCATCCCTTCCCATCGTACCCCTTTCCCCCCCCCCCGCCCTCGGCCATCCAGCGCCAGTCCAAGAAGCCGGCGCGGGTCTCCGAAAAGTGATGTCTGTGCAGCCTGTCCTTCTCCGAGGAAGGGCCAAGAGGAGGGCAACGATGAAAGCAGAAGAGCGCGGGGAGGCCCGCCCACGGCTGCCGCGTCTCCTCCCGGACATAAGCCTGGTACATGTCGTGCCAGTCCTCCGGGGAGCCGTCGAAGGGGTCGTGCGGCAGGCTCCGCGCCAGGTGCATCAGCTCCTGGTGCCCCGGGAGCGCGCCGGAGAACGGCCCCTGGAGGCAGGACGTGTGCGCATCCAGCTGGATGCGCTCCCCGGCCCCGCCCTGGGACGACCCCCCTCTGGGAGCCCCCGACGGGGACCTCCCAGAAGGGCGCCCGCTGCACTCCTGCACCGACCCTGGCGAGGCCAAGGGTCGGGTGCACGCGCCCTCCCGGCCTGGCCTGGAGGGCACATGGTCAGCTCCGGAAGCCCTGAACCAGGACGATCAGAATTTCACGATGTGGCTCAGGATGCCCTCCAGGACTTCCAAGAATATCTGGCGGCCCTCGCTTCGGCAGCCCGTGTGGAACGTCAGGATATGTAGGAAATCCTGGAAACCTCGGAGACCTTGCAACGTGCCATTCTCATTACCTCCTGCTCCGCCGATGACCTCCCCAAGAGAAACAAATCTCTTGGACGGGCGGCGTTTACTCCCGCTGCCCTCCGCCAACCTTCTGCCCGCGGCTTCCGGCGGCGGAGGCGCCTCCTTTCTCGCTTCCGCTGCCCTCCGCTGGCCTTCCGCGCCTCCCGCCGCGGGAGAGAGGACAACTCCTCAATCCCTCGAAGGCGACGGCCCTTCCTCGTGGGGCCCAGGGACAACGCACAAACCTCAGGAGTCCCCATACTTTCTCACGTTGTCTAAAAGTTTCGTCTTCCCCCCCCACTTCCTATATATTTTCCCACATCTTCCTGGGAATCGACGACTGTTTGTGTCTGTGTGCTTTCTCTCCTGAAGCTTCTCGATCTCTCGAAGGCGGCGGCACTACCTGGAGCACTCAGGAGACTGGTCCCGCCAGGATCGGCGCGCGGGTGTGCAGCTGGCTGGAGATACGCGTTCTGGGGCAACGCGCGGCATCCGCGCGCTCTTGGCGCCTCTGTCTCGGGCGTTGGGTGTCGCGTGCAGTCAGCCCTGGGATAGAAGAATATCCTTCAAGAACATGAGATCCTTCGCCGGCCCAAAACTGAAGAACATTCGGGGGTGCCCTCCCCCCCTACCCCAGAAGACACAAGAACATCCAACAAACACGAAGAACATTAGGGCACCCTCCGCGAACCTACCTCGATCTTATACCTCGGTCCGACTATAATGGGGGGCGGAAACGGAGCCATTTAGAGTCTATTTCCTGCGGAGTTGAGGATCGGGTATCAATGTCCCAGACCTCCAGCGGACGGATTCTTTTCGGCCGCGCCTCTGGGGGTCGTTTTCAGGGCCCCAGGCCACGAGACATGAACCTGGGATGAAAAACTGCCCCCGAGAAGCGGTCGGAAGATCTGGAACCGCGGATTGAACAGACCGCACCGTCCGATGCCTGTGCTGCGTGTGGCTCTGACACGCTTCAGGCGCCGCGCAATGGGGGGCGATGAATGGGTAGGACAAAAGGTGCACTTACGGGCCCTACAGGCCCCCTTTGGGTGAACGATGATGGTGCTGTTGATGATGATGACGATGATGATGATGATGATGGTGATGATGATGATGGTGATGATGATGATGATGATGATGATGATGATGCTGATGATGATGATGATGATGATGTGACGGTGGTGCTGATGATGATGCAGTTGTGGCTGCTGCTGACGACGACAACGACGATGATGACGACGACGATGAGGATGATGTTGCTGGTGGTGATGGTAGTAATCATGACGAGTGTGATGACGATGGTGATGATGTTGACGGGGATGATGATGATGATGATGATGATGATGATGATGATGATGATGATGATGATGATGATTCGGACGATGTTGATGACGACGACGACGACGACGATGATGATGATGATGATGATGCCGATGAGTGTGCTGATGCCCATGGTGACTTGGATGATGTTGATGATGATGCTAATCATGCTGATGTTGATGATGGTGGCAATGATGATGATGCTGGTGATGATGATGACGACGACGATGCTGATGATGATGAGGATGATGATGATGATGAGGATGATGATGGGGGTGAAGGTGCTGTTCTCCAAGACGGTGTTGACGCCGCATATGGGAAGGAACGATGACATGATTCCAGATGGAGGAGGAGTGTTCGGAGGATAGTGATGAGGAGGATGCACCATCATCATCATCATCAACAGCACCAGCATCAGCATCAGCATCAGCATCATCATCATCATCATCATCATCATCATCTTCATCGTTGTCGTCATCGTCGTCATCGTCATCATCACCATCGTCGTCCTCCTAATCATCATCGTCGTCGTCCTGCGCAGCAGCAGCTGAGTCATCATCAGCATCATCATAATCATCCCCACCAATATCATCATCACCATCATCAGCATCATCATGGGTATCATCAACTTTACCACCATCATCGCCGTCAGCATCATCATCACCATCGTCCACATCATGGTCAGTACTAGCATCACTGGTACCATCGTCAACACCATCGTCAGAATCATCGTCATCAGCAGCATCAGCATCAGCATCGGCATCATCATCATCATCGCCCTCGTCATCGTCGTCGGCGGCAGCAGCAGCTGCATTACCATCATCGTTCACATCATAATCGTCGTCAACATCATCGTCAATTCTAGACGCTTCGCGTATCCCCACCAGCCCGTCCAGAAACGACGCCCAGGCGAGTAGAGGGTCGTCCTGAGGGGCTTTTCGGCGTCTTGGGTGCCTTGGGGGGGCCTCTATGGGCCGTTCGGGATCCTCTTTGGGGCCTCCTGGGGGTCTCTTGGGGCCTCTTGGGGCCATCTTGGGGCCTCTGGGAGCACCTTGGGTGCCTCTGGGGGGTCTCTTGGGGCCTCCTGGGGGTCTCTTGGGGGCCTCCTGGGGGCCTCTTGGGGGGCCTCTTGGGGCCATCTTGGGGCCATTCTGCGGTCTCTTGGGGCATCCTGGGGGCCTCTTGCGGCCATCGTGGAGGAAATCGATCAAAGAAGAGGGGAGCCTTAATTAGCGTTGCCCCCTCAGAAGGCCAAAATGGGGCCCAAACCATAGTAAAATCAATGATGCTGGCTTCCTCGCCGAGGCCGTTTTGGACGCTCTGACCGCTCCCCGCCCCCCCTGTCCAGGTCAGTGGGGAGGGGGTAGGGGGAGGGGTAAACCCCTCCCCGAAGGGGAAGAAGGAGGGGTGGAAGAGGAAACGCTCTAAACCACCGACGCCCACAGGGCTGGTGGGATACCATCTGTATCATTATGTGCATCGTCTTCGTCAGCAGAGACATTGCCATAGTCAACTTCTTCAGCATCATCGCCATCAACATCCTGGTTATAAGCCTCATCAACCTCATCATCATCTTCATCACCATCCCATCACCATCACCATCGTCATGATGATGATCATGATCGTCAGTATCATCATCGCCATCAGCATAGTCATTGTCATCGGCATCGTCGTCCTCACCATCACCATCAACAACATCATCAACACCCCAATTACCATCATCAACACCATCGTCATCATCAGCCAACTCTGTCGCCTCCTCCATTTCAACATATTCATACGAATACTCCTCTTCCTGCTCCTCCCCTGCCACGAAACTCCTCCTTGCTCAGGATGCCGTCGCCGTCCCTGTCGAACTTCTCGAAGAGGACGGAGATCATCTGCTCCCTCTGGGACCCATCCAGCGGCAGAGTCAAATTGAGCGACGTGGCGGTCATCTGGGAGTTGGCCATCTGCGAGGCCACACATCCATCGACCACTCCCCCTCACCGATGTATCGTTCGGCACTCCCCCATTTCCCTTTCTCCCTCCTCGCCCATACCCCCCCTCGTCTCCCTCCCCAGCCTTCTCCTCTCCGTGCCAATGGTGCGCAGGGCTCCTGTTGGGTAGTCGGGTGAGTACGCACGGGGCGCCTGTAAAGAGATCATCGATCTCCGAAGAACACCTCACCCGAGCCTTCTGGAGTTACGCCACCAGGGCGACACAGGCAATCTGGTTTCAAATAGGGGTCCTCCCGACCCCACTTGAAAATCGCCATGTAGAGAGAGCAATTGCTTACTCGACATATCAGGAGGCTGGACATCGTTTCCCGGCTCCTCCATACCTGCCGAATGAATAAGGTTATTCGTTGGCATTCGCACGAGGTGTGCTACAGGGCAGCGCCCTGATACGGCTGTATGGGGGTGGGCCTTCACTAGTCTTGCACTATTGAAGAGATTAGTCTTGCCTACACCAGGCATTGTGTTCATGCGTTGTCCCCTCGTGCCGGGGCTTCGTTCCCTCATGCTCTTACACCTCATTCTGGGGCTTGCCCTTCAGCGTCGACACACCATGCTACCCATAACCCGGGTGATCAACTCTTTTCTCCGCACGCGCTACCCTTGGGGTGCGACCCAAATAGCCCTGGCAGTTTGGTCAGTGATCCGCCCTATCATTTCCACAGTGCCCGCTCCCCCATTGCTCCTTCCTCCTTCCTCGGTCTCCTTTTTTCTGCTCTCCCACCTCATTTTCTCACTTTCGCCCCACTATACCGCCCAAGGCGCAGGACATTTTACGACGAAACTGGGAGATTGCAAGATTTGTCGTGAAATGTCCGGCGCCTCCCTCTGACTTCCCGTCCTGAACCATGGTGCCCTCCATTTTGTTCCTTCTCCTCCTCCTCCTCCTCCTCCTCCTCCTCCTCCTCCTCCTCCTTAGCGCTGGAACTTGTCGTTTCCCTAGGGCCCCCTTCTGGTTCTGGCGGGTGTAGGTGGTTCTACCCATATCCCAGAGCCTCTTCAAGGTTCTGGTGGATTTTAAGTGTTAGGAGTAGGCATGCCTGCGGGGTATGGCATCCTGTATCTTAGAACGGTTCCTTTGCCAATCAAGCCCCGTACGCGGAGGGGCCCAGTCATATCATGACAAGCGTCTTTGCATCAGGCTGGCGCCTTTGCACTGGAAATCTGCCAGGACTGTGGGCTACGGCTATGCTTCGCATAACCATCTACCCTGCGGTCCGTTGTTTCGGCTGGTCCGACTCAACAGAAAAGGCTGGAGTTCTGGTAGCAAGCCACACTAGGCAGGTAAGGCTGGCGCGCTTCCGCACTGGAGCTCTGCCAGGACTGCGGGCTACGGCTATGCTGCGCATACCCATCTAGCCTGCGGTCCGTTGTTTCGGCTGGCCGGGGACTCTACCAACAAGGCTGGAGTTCTGGTAGCAAGCCACATTAGATAGGCATTGACTAGGGCCGTCCGCACTGGAACTCTGCCAGGACTGTGGGCTGCTACGGCTATTCTTCGCATGCCCATCTAGATTGCGGTCCGTTGTATTGGCTGGCCCGACTGAACAAATACGGCTGGATCGCTGGTAGCACGCCGCACTAGGTAGGCAAGATCTTGGGAATGCCGCTAGGGCTTCGGACTAAGGTCGCTGAATTTGCGTGACTCTCAAAGTTGTTAGAGTCACGCAAATATCCCGTCGCCAGAGCGAAGGCGAATGGGTTTTAGGTTAAGGTTCCCCCGGTCAGGGTGTTGGTTCCTTGGGGCCAACCTAAATCCTTGCGGTCATCAGGGCTTAGGGGTGGGGCTATCCTATTCAACTCGGCACCCCTGTCCCGGAATGCCCGGCCCAGGGGTAATAGTCGGACCCCCTGCCGGGCCGGTTCGCCCCCCAACCGCGGGGTGGGGTTTCTCGGCGTGCCCGGCCCGGCCTGCCAACACTAGGGGGATCCATTTAGGCTGGGTCCAGATTGCTAAGGCGCTATTGCGACAGCCGCAGCTTTAGGCGGCTCAAGCTTTCCAGTGTTGCTCCGGATACACCGCCTTCCCTTGCCGACGCCCGATGTCGGCCCGCGGCGCCCCTTCCCAGCCCGCGGCCCCGATGGCTCCGCGCCCTTCGGCAGCCCTCCCAGCTGGAGGTGGGGGGACCCGGCCTTGCCCGCATGCAAGGTGCGTCGGGCACTTCATCGGCTCTGGGCCCCCCCGGTGCAGTCGCGGCCCCCTCTGCGGCATTCGCGCGCGGCCTGCCCCGCGGGGACCTTCGCCGCCTCGCGCGACCAGGGCGCGGACCGCCGAGGCACCCTCGCACTCGGCCGGTATAGCGACTCCGCTGGCGGGCGCCTTGCCGCCCCCGCCTGGGCCGCCGCCGCCCCAGACGCATGGCCAAACATGCGGCCTGTGCTGGGAGATGCCCCACCAGCGGGCGCCGCAATTGCACCGGCGGCCTGCGGCCCCAGACGAGCACTACAATCGGGCGTGCCCTTTCCCCGACCCTGGCACGGCTTGCCTCGGCCATCCTATGAGTGAGGCGCCGCGCCGCTTCGGTCGTCGCAAGAAGGGCCGCGGTAACGGGGGGCCCTACCTCGGCAACCCGACCGCTCCTGCCCCCCCGCCCTTCGGAGCTGGCAAGGGGAAAGGCGGGGTAGACAAGGGCAAGGGTAAGGTCAAGCCCATTGGGGCGCAGCCGGCCACCCTCGTTCCTGCCGCCGGCACGGGCGGCGGCGCCGCCCCGATGCAGCCGCCCCCGGGGCGCTGCATATCAAGCCCCCCTGGCGCTCGCGGAGGCGGAGGCCCCACTCTGGAGAGCCAAGGTTCCCGACGCACACCCCGAGCTCCTCAAGGCCAAGCAAGAGCTGGAAGACCTGCGGCAGTCGAGCTTCCAGCCCCTTCCACCCGCGGAACAGGCGGTGCGCCAGCGCAGGCAGATCACTTCGACAAAGGACGCCGACTTCAAGAAAAAGGCGGCGCTCGAAGAGACGGGGGCGCAGATCGACAAGCTAATAACTTCCCACTGCCAGCAGGCGGATAACATCAACACCCGGGCTGGCGGGTTGAATGAGAACATCGCTCAGCTCAACGCGGTCGAGGCCTCCTCGGCCGCCGCCCCCATCACCACCCCGACCTCGCAGCAGATTCTCGCGCGCTGCACAGCTCACCTGGAAGAAGTCACGCCCCTGTCCCAGGAAGCGCTCCTTGAACGGGTGACGGCCGACCTGCGGGCGCAGGCCCCCGCCTCGCAAGTCCCGCTAGTGGAGACTGTGCCAGCGGGAGCCGAGTCGCGCATCAAGGGGGCGGTGGAGACCATGAACGAGGCGCCCAAAGCCTTGCAGGGGCACCCGGGGGAGGCTGGCCCTCAGGAAAGGCAAGAGGCCCCTGCCCAGGCGACGGCAGCTGCGCCCCCAAAGGGCCCGCAGGGCGCGCGCCCGGTGGCAGGCGAGGCAGGCGAAGCAGGCCTCTCTGCGGGTGGCGCGGGGGCCCTGGCCGAAGCCGCGGGCGCCCCCCAGCCATCGGCGGGCGCGGGCGCAGACGCGACCCCGTCGCCGGGGCAACGCGCGGGGGGCCCCCGCAGCCAGTCCATGCCGACCTGACATAGTGACCGCGCTTCTGCCGCCTTCGGGCGCTCGGCCGGTCCCCATGGCCACTTTTAATGGCAATTCGTGGACCTCTCTGCGGGGCCACCTGGACTCTGGGGCCCTCTCGGCCCACAAAGTTTTGTTTATTCAGGAAACCCTCCTGGGATAACCCCCACTTAATTCAGCTCGCCGCGGAGCACTCTTTGCGGAAGGGCTGGAAGGCTGCATTTAACCCAGCCACGCGCTCCCCAGACAACCGCGCGATCGGGGGCGTCGCCATCCTCGTCCGCGCGGAGCGGGACATCGGCCTCTCCCCACTTCCTGAGGGCCTCCCTCCCTGCGTTGATCCTTCCCGTCTTGTCGCCGTCCGTTATGAGCCTCCTGGCTTTGCTCCTCTCCTCCGTGTACCCCCTATATCTTCACCCCCCCCCCTATATCTTCACCCAGTGGTGAATCTGAATGAACCTAATCGTGCCTTGCTCACTCACTTGGGCATCTCACAACACAGCGCAGGCTTGGGCATTCTTTTCGGAAGGGATTTCAATATGAACCCGTCCTGTGTACTGGAAACTGACCTTGGCGAGATTTTCCTTCCTCTCCTCACCGCCCAGTCGCTCTCTCTGCACTTCTAAGCTGGGGGGCGCTGGTACCAAGGCTGCGCCGCCACAAGCCTTACCCAGTGGAAGCTATGATAGGCCCGCAGTTGCCCCCTACAGATTGGGCTCATGTCAGGGCGGCGTCGTCGGTCCCGAAACAGCGCTTGCGGGGGCCCTCGGCCATGCGGCTAAGCAGCAGCATCTTAATACCTTGCGTGCTGCCTTTGCCGCGGCTTTTGGCGATGAGCTCTGTCGCATCACCCGCGCGCCTGTGTGCCCGAATCGCGCCAGGGCCCCCCCGGCCGCGCATCGAGTGGGCACCCGCTGATGAGCCACTGCATGCGGCAGCCTGATGGGTGGGTCTCGCGCACCCCCGCGTCCGCCGGAAATCAAATAATTTGCAAGACCTCCAGCGATGCGTCGCCGCTGGAGGCGCCATGGAGGCGGCCGTGGCGCGGGTGGCCGGGCCCCTGGAAGACTGCCCTGACATGCCAGTAGCAGCACGGAATTTGTTGAGAGAGCTCAAAGGAATCTGCAGCCAGATTACCCCAGATGGTAGCGCTGTTCAGGTGCCTGTGGAGCAGGCGCTTGCGCTTCTGGCGGGCCCTGCGGAGGAGTTAGATGCTCTGCCATGTGCAGAGCAGGCCGCGGATGCCCGCGACCGCGCGCTGTCCTGGCGAGACTGGGTCACGAAGGCGAACAGCAAATCGGTTGGTTGTGCCCATCGTTTGTCGAAGTGCCAGGCGAAGTGGGCTCCTATCCAGGTCAGCTGGCACGAAGAATGGTCTGGTCGGTCCTCCAGCTTTC